GGGGGGGGGGGTGTATGGGATGAGAGAAACATGGTAGATGAAGTTGTTTGGTTTATGTCTCGTAAGGGTGATAATGAAAGAGATGATGGTGTAGGGTTAAATAGAGATATATTTGAAAAAAATGAGGTGGGAAGAAGAAAATGTAGGATGGGTTGGATGTGGAGAGAAAGGGATAAAGAGTGTTAGATGTTGTTTGTTTTTTTTTTTTAAAAAACTCTTATGACCACTTTTTGATCGCGGCGCAGCACACGCGTAACACTTGCCATCTCGCAATAGTTTATTTTTTTTGGAAGGCTTCAGACTATAAAACTTCTGTGCGTATTCTACGCGGCGCAACACTTGAATTGTCTCTTCAAACATCTTCAGCTTTTCATTTTTTCCAAGTGATTTTTTTTAGAAATTTGGTTTAACTATTTTTTTAACGTAGATTTAAAAAAAAAAACTTGATTTACGGATTTGATACAATTTCTTTTTATAGTTTCCACAATTTTTTATAATTTGATTTTCAAAAAAAAAAAAACTTTGATTTTTTTAATTTTTTTTACCGTTTTTGTTAATAATATTTTCAGTTTCGGTTGCATTTTTTTAACATTGGTAATTCTTTTACGAACTTTGTTGACATTGTTTGGAATATTTTCTTAATTTTTTTTATTATTTATTTTTTTTATGTTTTTTAAAATTAGTTTTTTACTAGAATAAAATCGATAGCTTCTGTTACATTTTTTTAGATTTTATTTATTATATTTTTGTTTTTTATATGTTCTTTTTAGTATTCTTTCAATGTTTTAATACTAGAATTATTTAAATTTTATTTTACTGCAAATGTTAAAAAACAAACATGTTTCTTATTACAGTCTGCAACCGTTTGGTCCACCTCTTCTGTTGTAGAGGGTTGCAAAGGTGGTCTGCACACTTCATGAATTTTCGTTTCGAAAAAACAAATAGCACCTTAAAAAGAAAACAAAGTTTGAAGGAGACGATAGGTGGAGGAGATTTCGTTGATATGTTCTAATGGAGAGGTTTGTGCTAAAAAGAATGGATGGAAGTTTGGTTTTGACATATGATTTTGTACATATCCATCAAATGAAGTCCATATTTTGAGCAAGGCTCGTATGTTTGTTATACTGAATTAAGAAGATTAAACTACAAAATGGTGTATTGTTATCATCATATAAATTATTAAAGGTGGCAATGGGTCGACCTGAGTTGGGTTCGGGTTCAATCAATTTAATAATTGGGTTGAAAATTTCAACCCAACCCAACATGTTGATTTAAAAGGGTTGATATTTTCAACCCAACCCAACCTTTTAGATAAATGAGTTGTCATCGGGTTGACCTGTTTACGTGGTTCCTGACCCAACCTATTAAATAAATGGGTTAAACTTGGGTTAACCCATTTAAAATCAATTAAATAAATTATATCATTAAATATTATACCACTTAAATTAAAAAACGTAAATAAAACTTCATAATTATGACTGAAGCACAATCTTAATTCATAAATATAGATAGAATGTTCAAATAACATTAAAAATGTTTGGTTTCACAATGCTTTTGGAGAGTGACCAGTTTTATCGGCGCTAAAAAATGATGGAAATTAAGATTGAATTTTATTAAACATAGATAATAATAATGCAACATTATAATTTACAAATTAATACTTTGTTTAATACATGATAATATTCAAATAATTATTAAAGTAAATATATATATATTAAAGTTAAATGGGTTGACGGGTTGAAAACGGGTTGATAACTTTTACCCAGCCCAACCTATTTAAGTAAATGGGTTAGACGGGTTGACCCATTTAAGTTAAATGAGTTGAAAATCTCAACCCAACTCGCTAATTTTGGGTTAGGTTCGGGTTGGGTTGGCGGGTTGGATCGATTTTTACCAGCTCTACAAATTATGTCCATAGTTTTAAAATTATTTTTTCTCTTTTGTATTTCATAATGCAATGAGTGAAAGAATATAATAAATTGGATTTTTAATCTCTCTGCCTAGTATTTTTCTAGATTACCTTCCTAGTTTTATTTTTTACTAGTTTATAACCCGTGAGAACCACGGTTATAAAATTAATTAAATTTTCATAATAAAAATTTATAATTATTAATTAATTATTTTAAATAAATCATTTTTAATAAATTTTAATTAAGAGATATATAAAATTTTAAAGTTATTATAACTTCAAATTTAACATATAATTAGAAAATGTAAATTTAAAATTTGAAATGAGTTGCCTAATATATCTACTTGACACATGACATAATATTAATGAGCAGTTGTATTAGAGTGACACTTCGCAAAAATAAAATTAAAACTATTCATATCCTTATTCTAATAAAAGAATAGTTTTATTCTCCTTTTGACATGTGTCACCATATTAAATCTCCTAATTAATGCATATTTTATTCTTTTTTTTTGTTATGTGTCACCTTATTATGTCTCTTAATTAATGCATGCCACTTGTCAACCTAATGATTCTCTATTTCAAATTTCAAAATTTAAATTTCTCACTCTAATTACATTAAATTAATAACATTAGGATAAAAATTAAAATAAAATTAATACAAATTATAAAGTGATGTAATTTTATATATTTATTTAAATCAATGATTATAATTTTATATAACTAAAAAAATCTTGTAATTAATAATTTATTTAAAATAAGTAATTAATAATTTTGAATTTTTACTATAAAAGTTTAATTAATTTTGTAACCATGATTCCCACGGGTTATAAACTAGTAAATAGAATAAAGATAATGTGAAAATGATAGAAAAATTAAATAAAAAAGGAAGATATAGAGGCTAGCTTAAGTCAACGGCGCCAGAAGTTAAACATATCTTCTTTGATCTACAATTCATATCATGTACTAAAAAGAAAACTAATCGTTGTTGTAGAAACAAAACTAGTTCATGAAAAATTAGACACTTGTTTAAAAAAATAACTACATAAAATAAAATTGTTTTTAACTTATAGTTAAATGAAGTAATGGTGTTAGACTTATTGGTTTTCATATTGACTACAAAACAGTAATCTACATGTCTATTCATTTCGTTGCATAATACAAGTAATGGAACACTAATTAAGCTCTAATTTCATTAGACATATAACATAAGCTATTACAAAAAGCACAATATTATTGCATTATCTTACTTTAATATAAAAAGTATAAATCCTAATCAAATATAGTCCTAATGTGACGTGCATGATAGAAATCATATGCCAAAACTAGATTTCCATCCATTCTTTTGAGCACAAATCTCTCAACCAATACATAACAACCAAATCTCTTCCACCCACCGATTCCTTCAAACTTCTCCTTCCTATTAATACTCTCTATCCTTTTCTCCCTACCTCCACCCCATCCAAATCTTTCTTCTTCCCACCTCATTCTTTCAAAAACTTCTCTATTCAACCCTACAATTTCTTCATTCCCATTATTGTCCCCACGACTTATAAATTGTAGGACTCCATTTACCATGTTTCCCTCATCCCATACAGCCTCCCTCCAACCTTCACCTATGAAAACCACTTCACTAGGAAATGCAACTTTCACATGCACAACATTTCCCTTATTAGTATGATCGTGTTTTTGTTCAAAAACTCGTTCCCATTTTTGTTCAAGTGCCATTTCATAAAAAATAGATGTTTTCACTTGATCAGTCAATCTGCCTTCTTTGATGAACATGAAAGGGCAATACCACTTGCCAACAACCACCGAGTTAGAAGTTTTGGTCGAGTGTGGGAAACTAAATTCAGGGAGGCGTGAACGAAGAGCATCATCGATTCCTTTTGCTTCATGTAACTCATAGTTTGTAGGTGTTTTGATGTATATTTCCCAACCTTTTCTCCTTAAGAAATTTGGAGGGTAACCATCTTCCGCAATAGTTTTGGCATAAAAGCTACCATCACCTTTAAAAAATGTTTCGTAAGGAATGATCTCAAATTGTTGATACACGTCATATGGGTCCAATGGCCTTGGGTTTACATCAATGAGACAATTACACAGACAACATGACACCATGTCTTCCTCCTTCGAACATGCAAACGCTTCCCTGTAAAACCTTTTTGTTAGTATATTTGAGATCAATGGTAGGTTATATAGTCACATATTTTGTGATACTCAAAGTTATTTAGACAAAAATGGAAAAAAATCGTCAATTAAAAGGTGACACATTTATTTAGACAAAAATGGATAAAAATATATCAATTTAAATGTGACAAATTTTTAATTATAGAGAGGGCGAGCCAACTTGAGTTATATTAAATCAAGACATTAAGGGACAAAAATATTCAATTATATACATATACATGACATGTGTTAATGTGTTATCAAAATACATCATAGTTTTGATCATGATGGTGCACGTATATTTAAATTGAGAAATTATATATCCTCCTAGCTACAATAGCCAGGAAGTCAAATCCATGGTATAAAAATGTTTCTCTCGATATTTCTGTTAAAAGATGTAAAGGTATTTCAAGACACTACTAGAAAACATGGGGTTTTCCTACGGAAAATAGCTACGGAATATTTCCGTAGCTAATTAGCTACGGAATGGCTACGGATCAGCTACAGAATGGGACGCCCTAATTTAGCAACGGAATAGCTACAGAATAGCTACGGATGTTAGTCCGTAGCTATTCCGTAGCTCATTAGCTACGAAATTGCTACGAAATAGCTACATATGTGAATCCGTAGCTATTCCGTAGTTCATTAGCTACAGAATGGCTACGAAATAGCTACGGACTAGTGATAGAATAAAATAGCTACAGAATAGCTACGAAATAGCGACGGATTTATAATTTCCATTATTATTATTATTATTATTATTATTCCCATTATTATTATTTTTCATTATTCGACTCTTAAATTTTTTTTGGATCATTTTTTCTTACATATTTAAGACACGAACAATTAAACATCATACTAATAATACTAACAATAATAATATTTATAAACATCATAATAATATATAACAATTGTAACAAATGTGTTTAACACACAAACAAACGATTAAACGAAAAAAATTACGTTCAACACATAAATAAGATCAATAAGATGAAATAAGCTATATTTAATTTATAAATAATGAAAAATGATTATAATCTAGGGAAATATGTATGTGTATGCGTATTTATGAATTTATGTATGTGTGTATGTGTATGTACGTGAATGTAGGTGTGTATGTAAATGTGTATGTGTATGTGTATGTGTGTATGTATATGTATGTGTATGTGTATGTGTATGCATGTATGTGTATATGAATGTGTATGTAAGTACATATGTGTATGTGTGTGTATTTGAATGTGTATGTGTATGTGTATGTGTATGTGTATGTGTATCTATGTGTGTATGTGTCTACATGTATGTGAATGTAGATGATAAGTTTTAAACCATTAAACGAGTAATGGATCTCGTATGTGCACACGACTTTATGAATGATATTAATAGCTATAAGTTGGTGAAAATATAGATAATCATGTATAATAGAGGTGTGAAAAAAAACGAAGCGGAAAAAACGACGTTTGGCGCCCGGAAAATCGAAAATAAGAATAATCCGTAGCTAATTAGCTACGGAATGTGCTTTCCGTTAGAATTCCGTAGCTAGTCCGTAGCTAATTAGCTACGGATTAGCTACGGATTATTCTTATTTTCGATTTTTCGGGCACCAAAGGTCGTTTTTTCCGCTTCGTTTTTTTCACACCTCTATTATACATGATTATCTATATTTTCACCAACTTATA